ATCAGCAAACTATTTCGTGTTATTGCGTAGGCGTACTCTTCCGAGTGTATCCGATTTCACGCACTCAATTGGCACTTTCCGTTAGTAGTATTACCTATTGTGTCTTTTCGACGTTTCACATTATAGGATTATATTTGTCAATTTAAGGTGGTACACAATTAGAAGATCATAGGCGTTCAGAGGTGCCATCAGTGGCTTTTTAAAGCCACTAGTATTAAAATAGTGGTGGCTCTCACAAATTGCTATCAGTAACCTTTAGCAATAACTAAGCATCTTAAAAGTTAATGTTTACGAATTTACGATTTTGTTGTTGTGCAACTTTCAGCTGTGTAAATTACACACTAACGTTACTTTATGCGAGGTGTAAAGTAGCGTTATATTCTATTTCAATTCAGTACCTTAATTTACCAACTTCCACTACATCCGAATGCAAGTACTTGAAAAATCAACCTCGTCATTCTCGAGCCCATCGATGGAGTCCAAGTTTCGAGTCTCTTCCGTCTCACTTCCAGTGACGGATCCAGCGGGCAGGATAACGTTGCAATATCGATGAAGCTCGCTGATCAGCTTGCTGGAGCTCGACTTGAAGCCCATTCCGTTGGCCATGAAGTGGAAGAGCTCACTTCGCACAAGCGTGTACCGTTTATCAAGCCCCGGCTCCAAGTCGTTTAGCACAACTGGAAAAATCGGTCGTCCTTTATCTTCGGCAAACGCTAGCTGGTCACGCACCAGCTCGTTGCCTATCGTCTGTCTTGACACAAGCACCACAAAGCACGAGCAGCGCAAAATCGTCTCTTGAGCCATTTGAATTCGCGAGTAAAAGTCTTGTCCACTGACGTTGTGGTCGCTGTAACAAGGGATTCCTGCTTGCGATAGTTGGGATGATAGTTGACGTACAAAGGCACTATGCTTGTCTCCATGCGAGAAGAAGACGAACTGTTGCTCCTGCCAATCATCAGGACCAGGATTCCACGTATCGAACGCCTGTGAGAGCTGCGTGGCGCTTAAGGTATGCAGCATCGTGCCTCGATTACTTCGCACGCCAACTCCATCGTCAGCAAGGGTAAACATACGGCTACTCGCCACGTTATTTTGCCTTGTGCTGAAGCGGTGCTTCTCGACTTCATCGCGTACGCC